CATGCCCCCGGGCCCCCCGGCCCCCAACACTAACCCCTTCCTCCTATAAGCGGGCTGGAGGGGCTCGGCCTGGCCCAGCCCCCGCTCCGGAATCCAGTGTCGTGAGTGCATGTGAAGCGGCCCCAGCCCCGCCCTCCTGGGGCCACTCACACTACACCCTCCCACCTCCCCGCCTCTCTCCCGAGAACTGGACCTGGGGACGGGGAGGTGCCGGCCAGAGGAGGACCCCTTCCGTGGCATTAGAAAGGAGGGACAGCTGCGCCCCGTCCCCTCCTCCCGCTCCTGACTGGCCCCTCAATCAGTGTTGAGCCTCCCTTCACACCCTCGGTGAATCCTTGGTGATGATTTTGGCAACTTTGGGAATAAATGGCAATTCTCATGGGCGTGGCTCCTGGAGTTCCCGTCCATGATCCACATGGGCCTTCACCCTGGGGACCCAGGCGTGGGGGCAGCACCCCCTTCTCAGAAGCCCTGGTTTCCCGACCCTTCTGGAGCCGTGGAGGTGGAATGGAGGGGCACCCTAGCAGGGCCAGGTGCTGCCCCTTGTGATGGTCCGGGGCCGGACACCCCGCCGTCAGCCAGACTTTCTTGTCCTGGAGACACTCTGGGCAAAGGTGAGGGGACAGGCAGGTACAGAGTCACAGGCTAGACAGAGGAGCTGAGCCTGCCCAGGGTGGCCTGTGCTGCCTAATCCCCACGGCTGACCGGCTGACCGACAGGAGGGGTGGCACGTGACCTTCAGAAAAGCCCTGGGGACCGAGGCCTCCAGAGGGATGGCAGCCGGAGTGAGCATGTGCGGGTGAAAGTGGTGGCCCCGCTGGCTCCCTCCAGACCAGGGTGATTGGAAGGTTTGGGCTGGCCGGACAGAGTGGACCCCCCGGGGGACAGGCCCAGGGATGTAGAACCGCCTCAGGTCCATTGGTTCAGGACGGGCGGTGTGACTCGCGGGCCTGGGGGAGGGCGGGCCCTGTGCTCTTGGGAGCCAGGTGGCCTGGGCAGTTGCTGTGGGGCGGGGCCTGGGGACCCACGGCCGCGCCTCCTTCCTTCCTGCCTCCGCGGGCGGTTGATTAGTGTTGTCGGAAACCCCAGGGTTTCCGGCTGGATCCCCAGTCAGGGCACTTACAAGAAGCAACCAATGGGCGTATAAATAAACGAACAACAAATCCATGTTTCTTTCTCCTTCCCTCTCCCTTTTTCTCAAATCAACTTAAAAATTAAAAGAAGCAGGGAAGGCAGTAAAATAAACCGTGCTTTGGTGTTTTCAGTCTGCGTTTGTCACAGCGGAGAGCGGACAGTGGGACCCCAGCACGCGTGCACGGTTGGGGCTGTTCCCTCTGCTGGGCACCCCGCTTCCGTGTGAGATGCACAGCGGCCCGAGTCTCGTGTCTCCTGTGCTTTTGCAGAACGTTCTGGCCCCCACTTCTCACCGGGAGCTGCCATTTAGGGGCCACACACCCTGCCCCCCCACTCCCCTGAGGCCTGAGCACCCAGGTTCGTACTTACTAGATGTTGAAGGAGCGTCATTCCTGCCTCGTTGGTTCACTCCCGCTGCGTGTGCCTCGTGTTTTTCCTCCAAATTCGTCTCCAGGCCCCTGCGAGGCTCAGATGCCAGGCTTGGGGCCCAGCCGCGCAGGCCCTTTCTGGGTGCTGGGAAGGGTCGTGTGGGTGCGGTTCTGATCAGCGCGTCTGTTCGGAGGGCTGCAGCGGACAGGTGCCCACCGCGGGCTTTCCTGCGGAAGGACAGGCTGCGGGCTCTGGGCTCCATCTGGGTTTAGAGTCCGGCGCCTGGGTTGGGGAGGCCTGTGCGGCCTGAGGCCAGCAGGGGGCGCCAGAGTCCGAGGCCTGGCCCTGTCTGGCGTGGAATCGGCAGGTGCTGGGACAGGCGGTCCCAGGACACCACGCGGGCGCCGTCGCCGTGCCTCCCTCCCACGCGTGCTCTAGGACGTCCTTCCAACGGGCAGCCTTCTGTGCGTTTCTGCAGCGACTCGCAGCTGCTCAGGACCTCAGGTTCTCAGTGNCCAGGACAACCCCACTGTCCCCCACATGCGCTCCGCCCGGAATGGTTCCTTCTGCTGTCTTTTTGCCTCCTAGTGAGTATGTCTTCGTGCTTTTATCCTACTCGTAGTGCTAATTCTTTAGCTTTATGTTTCATCCACATTATTTCACATCGATTCGAATATAATTTCTAAGAGCACTGTTTAACATCTGCACCTTAAAATACAAATTGTAATGGACTTTCAGTGTCAAGCACAGAAAAGTGTGGACGGTATCGCCCCCCACCCACACACCTTGGGAACAACCTTGTCTACTTACAACAGGGTTGCAGGTTCCATCCCCAGGGAGCATGCGGGAGGCAACCAATCAATGAGTCTCTGTCACATCCATGTTTCTCCCCCCCTCCCTCCCTCCCTTATTGAAAATAAATATTCGNGAGTCTCGTGTCTCCTGTGCTTTTGCAGAACGTTCTGGCCCCCACTTCTCACCGGGAGCTGCCATTTAGGGGCCACACACCCTGCCCCCCCACTCCCCTGAGGCCTGAGCACCCAGGTTCGTACTTACTAGATGTTGAAGGAGCGTCATTCCTGCCTCGTTGGTTCACTCCCGCTGCGTGTGCCTCGTGTTTTTCCTCCAAATTCGTCTCCAGGCCCCTGCGAGGCTCAGATGCCAGGCTTGGGGCCCAGCCGCGCAGGCCCTTTCTGGGTGCTGGGAAGGGTCGTGTGGGTGCGGTTCTGATCAGCGCGTCTGTTCGGAGGGCTGCAGCGGACAGGTGCCCACCGCGGGCTTTCCTGCGGAAGGACAGGCTGCGGGCTCTGGGCTCCATCTGGGTTTAGAGTCCGGCGCCTGGGTTGGGGAGGCCTGTGCGGCCTGAGGCCAGCAGGGGGCGCCAGAGTCCGAGGCCTGGCCCTGTCTGGCGTGGAATCGGCAGGTGCTGGGACAGGCGGTCCCAGGACACCACGCGGGCGCCGTCGCCGTGCCTCCCTCCCACGCGTGCTCTAGGACGTCCTTCCAACGGGCAGCCTTCTGTGCGTTTCTGCAGCGACTCGCAGCTGCTCAGGACCTCAGGTTCTCAGTGGCACCGTCAGGTTTTCTCACAAATCCACCCAGACACGCAGAGCCCTCCCGGTCAGCCCATCTGCCCCCTGGCTGGTGCCCTAGCATCGTCCTCCCCGCCACGCGGGGCCGGCGCCGCCTTCGTGCCTTTAGCCGCAGCTCGCCCCTCACTGTGCAGAGGCCTAGCCACGGCAGGTCACCTACGGACGTCCCCACGTGGGCGTCGCAGAGG